TGTGTCTACATCTTTGTCGCAAGGGACACAAGATTTACATTGAAATCAAATAATGTGATGTCGACATGACAGCATAATCTTTGTAAGTTGTCATCTTCAAGCATCTATATATATAACTTTTAAGCTAGAAAAGGTCGGACGTGTCAGACTTAGTTTACGTACATCAATTAATTTTCTCTTAAATTTGATCAAAAATAAATTATCTACAATGAAATTAGAGTATTCATGAGAATTAAATCTATAATGACCTGACGTTTTTTAAAATCATTGTTATTTTTTAATGTAAGAATTGTAAAGCATGAGTCGCAACTTGCATAACAATCCTTTTTTGTTTTTCGAACATATAATTGATGTATTATAACTGACAATCTCAAACGGGTGCATTTGCTAACTATTTTATTTGATTTGTGTTCATCACACGACGCAGTCAATAAGTCTTATTTTTCCTCCCAAAAAAAATATTAACTCCTATCATATTTATTTTAAGACAATTAAATCTTATTTTTTTATAATTTATTGGTAAGAAGTCCTAAACTTCATCAATAGTATGTTTTATTTCAATTTTATCCTTCCCATCGACACACCAATAATATTTTTATAAATAATAATATGTTATTAGTGTTCCAAAGCAAATTATAACAGCCGAAACATGTAATTAACAATGACGACTTATAAAAATGATAAATTATACAATTCTATCTTTTATTATATTTAACTTTTTAAGTATATGAATTTCGACTTACCTGATAAAATCTGAACAATAAAGACGTACAAAAACTAATTTATAAAAATTTACTATCTAACAGGGGCAGAGGCAGGGTGGGGGCAGTAATTGCCCCCATTGAAATTCTAAAAATTTGTAGGGTTAATTTAAAATTATAATAAAAAATAATTTTTTTAATAACTGGCCCCCATTCATTTTTTTTAATGCACTAAAAATTTAGACTCAAAGTTTGTTCATAGATACTTAATCTCACAATTTTTTGTTTAATCTCTACTTATCTTTATTCCTTCTACAATGACTCACTTAAGTTATCGAATCAATCATTCTCTGAATTCGATTACTAAGACATAAGTATATATTTTTGACCAATTATCTAAGTTCAAATATATTACATCATTTTCTAAGATTTTAGATTTGGGCGCATAAAAAATTTTGATCTAATTATGATTCAATTCAATTCAGTTCGATTTAATTTGATATGCATACACAAATATGTATATGTAAACATTTGATAAAACCCAACAATTAAATTGAATTAAAATTGCAATGCGACACACACACACACACACACACACACACACACACACACATATATATATATAAGATTGGATTTTTGATAAAATTCATAATATTTAATAGATTCATATATGGATTAAAAAAACAAAATCAGTTGAATAATTAGATTAGATTCAAGTCTAAGCCTAAGTTCAAACCAATATAATCCAAAATTCTAAAAGAATATAACATTTTAAATAATCTAACAACATTCTAAATAATCTAACATAATATAATACAACATAATATAGCATAACATATTCCACCAAAACCCAAACAACAAATGTCTAAAATACTACTTGAATTTGATATAAACGTCCTATAATAAATCACTAAATAAGTTAAGAGGCCCCACAAAATTGAATATCTACTTGATCAACCAGCCATGAAATCCATCATTAGAGAACCTATATGATATTACAAAAAAAAATATGAGAGTTGAGCTATCAGCACCTGCTGCAACCGGAAGCTACAATGTTAACTTGTTATGCGAAATTAAAAAAAAAAAACAATATTATACCATTAGCCCAAAACCAACATAAGATCACAAGACATATTGGAATCTGAAACTCTTAAATTTAAAATCTAAACATGCAGGTTATGTGAATATTTCTAGGAGTTAGTCCTTGATACTTTTAAAATGTTCATCATGCTATTGGACCGAATTAACTGTGTATTTCGGCGTCAATAAGTATGGTATATCTTCTGGTTAGTATGACACAAAAAATGACAGAAGTAAATGACGTTCAGTCCATCAACAAATTAGCATTAGTAGGTGATGTGACCCACATATATCGATACCCAGTCACAAGAGCAAAATTGAAAAAGAAAATACAGTCTGGGGATCATAATACTATGAAACACCATTTAAAACACGCATGCATATACGTTAGAGAAGGGCTGGTTCAATTCCAATGGATGTTCAGATATCCAAACATAAATAAAAAGTGCAAGTTACTTCACAACTTGTCTATGTGTTTTATCAAAGATACAAGTGGACTTCTTTTGAAGCGCAGTATAACTAAAGTCTACACAGGGAAAGGGAGAGGGACCAGACTGGAAGTTTATTTATATATATACATTTTACGGGTATAACGGGAATGGGGTGGAGATAAGGGTAAATCCATCGTCGCCCTCATCCCCGCATGAGTTTATATGAGTATTGTCGTATATCTCCATCGTCCAATACATATAGTTCATCTCTGGTCCAAACATGACAGGTTTGGACGAATATTCATTTTTTTTCGATTCATTGTCATCCCTACTATCCACGTTAAAATTAGGATATTTATGAGGGATAAATTTTTCATAGTTTGACTTTAAAAGATTGTCAAAATTCGAATTTAAAACGTTTAAATTTACAATTCATCATTGTTACCATTTGAATTACCATTTGGGGTTAAAGTTTATTAGGTTTATGTTAACAGTTAAATCATGTTTATGAATTATTCTTATGATGGTTGGTTAATTCCTCCAAGACTGACTTAGTCTAGCCATGCCCTCCCAAAATTGCTTGACACCTTCAATTCCGTGATCCACAGAAACCTTCGACTCCAAAACATGCAAAATGCATAGAAAAATCCCCCGGGCCAGGGGCGGAGCATGAAAATTTTTTAAGGGTGGGTACACTGGCATGTTTTAATTTTTTTAATAGATCGTAAAAGTTCATAAATTTATATTTATTAAAATTATATTTAATATTTTTTAAACATAAAAAATTAAAAATTGATATACTAACATGAATAAAAAAATAATAATTAAAACTTCTTATCGAGAATATAACTAATTATTATTACTTATAATTGATTCTGATATATTTTTATTATTTGAAAGAGTTAGAAATTAATTTTATCAACAATATTTCTTTTATATATAAAATTGCAGAAACAATATTCCATTTACGATCCTATAGTTTACTACATAACGACACACATTTTTATACAATAATAAAATAAATCTACAATTTAAAAAAATTATAAAATAATATCAATATATTCAAAACATATTCAAACATGTCTAAAACATGTTTAAAAGTTAACAATTATATTAGTTGTACATAATTTGAGATTTAATTGATAGAGACCCAATGATTTGTGACCGTTGAATAGATAGTAGAATTTATTAAATATTAAGACTCACTATTATATTTAATATCGTAATGTATTAGGTCTTTAAATTAAGTTTCAATAACATTGTTAAAAAAGTTAACAATCATTTAGGTAGACGTCTTTTCAAATCAATATCACAAGAACATAATATTAGAGTGTACACAATTAATATGTCTAAATTTTATTCCAAAAAATGCATGCTTAATATGAAGCAAAAAAAAATTGAGGGGGTGGGGGTGGGGCAAAAGTTTTGTTTTTAATGTTGGACTAAAAATTTTATTTTTTTAATAGGTTTGAATGGATTATAATAGATCAAAGATTTGATTTTTTAATAAGTTTGGGTAGATGGTGATGGACTCAATTTTTTTTGTTTTAAATGAACTTAATTTTTTTAATTTTTTTGGATAAATAATGTGGGCCTAATGTTTTTATCTTTAGTTTTATGTGGGCATAAATAATATATTATATAAATATAATATATATATATATACCTAACTAATAATTTTTTTTTTTTTTTGAGAGGTCCAACTGCCCTTTACCCGGAGCATGAGTTGTTCATGTCCTTCGCGAAATTTGACTTTTAAAATAATATAACAATAAATTGATAGTGAATTTTAGTGTTTTTGAGACTTCTTATTTATCCAATAACCGTGATAGATTAGTTTATTAAATTAGGTCAATAAATTAAGTTTAAATATTATTGTTATAAATAAAAATAATAAAAAAATTATGCATTTATTTGTCTTTTGATGTTGCGACTTAATGATGTCCTAATTCCATATTCTAGGGTATATTTGATGATTTTTGATAAGCTTAACAAATAAATAATAGAGTTTGTTAAAACGAAGTAAATTAGTTGGATTAAAATAATACATAAATAATTAAATTTTGATAAAGCAAACCCTTTTAGTTAGTTTTCTTGTCAAGAAAATATCCACTTGTAAATTTGTGTGTTCCTTTATCTTCTTCCATCTCAATTTGCAATCTTTCCCAATCTAAAATTTAACATTAGACCACACCAATACAATAGCAAAAAAAACAGTGACAATAATTCAAGTTTTTATTTATTTATTTCCAATGCCCTTGGTATACTAGGGTGAAAGTTGCTTGTTTCACCTATGTGCCCAAATTCCTTAAGAGAAAACATGGCTACTGAAGTGAAGCAACATTCATCTCTACTTTGACAAGTCATATTATTCATGATGCCATGGCTACTACATACATATTAATGAACTATTTTTCACCAAAATCATTTAAAAACAAGCTTAGACGACTGTGAGAGGAAAATAGGATGGTAATTATAATTATTAGGAAGGGACATGGGCGAGAAGGGAGTTCACGGCTTCTTCCTGCCTTGGTAGTATTGCAGAATGCTGTATACTTTCTGAGCTATGGTGAAATCTAATTGAACACCGGCGTAGATGACAGAAATAAGAGTCCATAGGCTGGAGAAATAGTTTTCAATGAGATTAGTGAACGCGACACGACAATTGTTCTTACACTTGTTTTGCCACATGTCGTAGTAATTATTGACTTCAAGAAGAATAGTTATTAGGCGATGTGATCTGTCGAATGCCAAGCCGAAGAGATGGTATCCATTAGTTTAGCAGCATCTAGGTCACTCGCAAAAGTTTTATGAATGACCCCTTGGGATTCCAGGACGCAAATGTTGTCATGTAACTGCCTGCTTCAACATGGCAACATTCAAAAGCTATCATGTTTAGAAATGTTGATTCAGTGTTATCATCTATAGTGAAAAAGAGAAGGCTTAGGATCCGTCCTTCGAATGAGAATTTATTGCTGCTATAATCTGATCTTTTGATTATCACACCAGCATCATACAACTGCTTCGCCAAACGAGACATCCTGGAATCCCTATAATATGTTTCCAAGACAATGTCAGAGCGAGTGACGTGGCCTAGGCTTTTCCGGTGTATATCAAGTACGTGCAAGCATTTTCCCATTCTTTGCCAACTTGCTTCAGGATCACAGAATTGCAGTATGAGGTTGTTGATGAACTGCACACGTATCTGCATGAATTATGGTGATTTTACTTTCTTACCAAAACTAAGCAAATGAACCAATAATTTGGTATTAAAATTCGAAATGTTGTTTCAAAAATTTTACATGGAAATTGAATGTTATAGACACAAGATAATATTTATAGTCTTATTATGGATGAAGAAATTGTGAAATAAAAAACAATAACACTATGTAAAAAGAAGTTTCATTGTGAATTGAATAATATTATTTGAACTTAATTTGTTATTTTATTATCATTAGATTGACAATAAACTCTATTATTGGTTAAAATTTAACGTTAAATGCACTAGAGGGCCCCAAAGTTATGAGGTTTATTTTATTTTGGTCTCTAATATTTCAATTTCATCATTTTGATACCTGAAATATTGAATATGTTTCTATGTAATCCCTCAAACAGACAACATTCAAATTATTAACAATTTTTTATTATAAAAATGTTACGTAATACTTAAATATGGACAAAAAAAATAATTTAGATAACAACTGATCAAATTTTTATTCAAATTTTTGTCAAAAAGATACTCAAATTATACAGTTTTGATCATAAGTTATTCAAATTTTAGTTAAAAGCTACCATAATTATTTTTTTGTCTGTCTATAATATAAAACTAGGGATAACTCGTGTTTGAAGGCACGATACAACATAAATCAACCAGTTGATTCCCTAAAAAAATTTATTTAATTTAAAAAATATTATTTCGAGACTATTCCAGCAAAATTTACTCTAAAAATAACAATCCAGAAAATCTCAACCTATCTATAAAAATCAGAGTCTCTTGAATGCATAATACAATTAAATCAAAGCTAAAAATTCAACTTGGTTTCCTTTGAAAATAGAAGACCATAAAATACTAACCTATATACAAAACTGAAAAACAAACGAAGCAATCCCTTAACATCAACGATTCATACCCAACCACCAAAACAATCAACAATTTCACATCTAGCCAAACATATCCTCATAATCGTGAAATTAGTTCACCATACTAAAATCAAGAGTAAACAAAAGACTACGCAAATTCGTGATTTTTTGCCCTTGCATAAAGATATGAAGTAACGAAAACTTAAATTAGAACTTGAAGAATATTATTGTGCCTAAAGACACTTTGCAACCTAAAATAAATGGTTAATTTGAAATAATTTTTTCAACATTCGCTTTAATTAAATAGATTGAAATCAATCAAGCCCCCACTTATTTTTAAAAAAAATTGACAAAACTTCCTATAAAAATAGGAGCTCAAGAAGATTTCAACATGTTTACAAAACTCACAATCATACAGAACAATCATAATAATGTCTTGTATCACTACATACAACACAACTTAATTCCATACTCAACCATCAATTCACATCAAAACCAAACATATCCTCATAACCATGTATAATTAGTTCATCATACTAAATACGGAACAAACAAAATACACACAAATCCACATAGTTGTGCCTAAACATAAATAAGATTAAAGAATAACTAAAATACGTAAAATGAGTCATTCTTTAATCTAGTTTATCAAAATGAGTCATTTATCTGCACATCATTGTAAAAACAATTTCTCCATCACAGCCTTGAATGTAATTGTATCAATCCAAATCCGCAGCTTCCAACTAGAATAATGTACAACAATCTAGCATTTACAAAAACAGTTAAATTTAGTACACGACAAAAATTTTAAAATTATAAACTTGAAAATCTAAAATAAACTATAAAAAATAAATTTAGTTTCCTTATTTAAACAACCCCATCGAAAAAGATGGGTTGCATTTAGTCTTTTTAACTCATGCACTGTTTCATCCTAATTCTATAGATGAAATAACATAAATAAAACGTTTGATCAATAAAATAACATTGTTAAAATGTTAGCAATGTAATACCACTTGACACGAAATACTTACCTTTTCCTTATCAGAAGAGATTGATATTCTTATTCCTTTACACTTTGCATTTGCAGTTACGACTGCTCTTTCCTTTGCCTTAGTAAACATAAATAAGTGAAATCATTATTTAGAAAAAAAAAAGTATAATCTATAAACAAACTGATGTGTCATGACACTACCTCATAAATGAGGATACAATTGAGTTTGCGTTCGTCGCGGATCACAACACCAACGTTATTTTTCTTGAGCAATTGAACATAAACATGAATATGCATTTAACAGATAAATGAACACAAATTTTATGAATATGAGTGATATGAAACTTATTTTACGGTTTCCTCTAAGTCTTCATCAATTTGTAAAAAGATGCGTGAAATAAATATATGAATATTTTGTGGTGCCGAAAAAAAAAAAAAAAAATAGAAGATGTTTAAACTCACACGACCAAAAATTGTGAGATCTTTCATTTATCAATGTTCAGAGTTTGCAGTGTTGGTTAATACACTATGATGGCTGCAAATATAAGACAGAGTAAATCAAAAAATTAGAAATATTCGTTAAATACACATATTCATATTACTTGACATACAATCTCTATCAATTAACACACAATAAACCTCTATTTCATACTAATTGACATACAATCTCTATAATTAATCAAAACCCTATAAAAACCTATTTGAAGTAACCAATACTGAAGTAACCAATAGAATAGAACCAACAAAATGAAAAATTAAATTTTTGATAGCATACACACACGTACGAAACAAAAACAAACATTCACAACAATGGAACCTAGGTACCGAATAATAATTCAAAATAATTAAAGCTAATTGAACAATAGCTAGAAAAAAAACATCTAAAATATTGTGCACACATCCAAGGCAATGGGACTGCAAGCTCCAATCAAAGAAACTCTCCAAAGCAAAAAGTGGCAAACTTCATGATGCATCAACAATAGAACAGTGGCCACAAAAAAACAAAAAACAAAATATGAGTCCAAATTCATTTCTATATGAACATTGATGTTGTGTGATTATATTTGTGACTCACCAATTTGTTTCTCTTATGGGTTTCCAAGAGAAAGTATCCAGGTGAAAAGCACCATGTTCTTAAGATCACAAGCCATCACCGATGAACACCTCATACTGAATTCCAAAACTCCATTTTCAACAACTAAACAATGAAAATTCCTATAACCCGTGCCTGAAGGCATTGTACAATTTAAAAAAAATAAGACAGACACAGCAAGGAAACAAAAAAAAAAACGAACAAATATTTGTGTCTGAAGAAACTATGTTATGTTGAACAAACAATTCACCAATATTTAATCAAAATAATTTTTTTTTTTGCGCTTTCAAAATAATTTCAAATTTAGTTAAATAGTACATAATCATATCAATTTGATGAAAGATAATGTAAAAAAAATCAATTTGCTAATACTTGCCTTGTATTAATTATTTCACTTGTATACACAATTTTTATAAACAAACTATGACAACCCTGAAAGAAGTAACACACATTTGATACTACAACCACGAAATATTGATAACCCAAGTATGTAATAACCAAAAGAAACACAATGATAGCATAAAAAAATACCACTTTATTCCTCAAAGTGCCCAAACCCAAAAAACTAAATTCTATTTTTTTTTCTACAACATCACATATTAACACAACATGTCACCAACTGCACAAAATACTCAAGAGTATGATTTCAGTCACTAGAAGTAAGATGGGCATTCATGCTTGGTCTAGCTAATTTAGTGGCTCAGCTACTGCTTGAAAGTAGCAAGTGTTCCAGCTGTTGATGATGGAAACATACAGTTGTTAAATGAACCATTTGGGTGTGTGAGTTTTTCCTTTTTAGATCTTGGTGGACACCATTTTATTTCTCATTGACCAAATTTCCTGTGCTTGCTCAAGAGGTTTGCTTTTTTCTCTCAATTCAAAGCAATAACTTCAAATATTTGGATGTATGCTCAGTACTTAGGCTAAAATTACGGAGTATAAAATGAAATGCAAGCTTAACTCACATGGTTACTCATGTTTGCTTGATTTTGCATAGTGATCTTCCATAATTTTTTTACCTTCGACATCTGGATCACAATTATTCATTATAAACATGCTGACCATTTGACCTGTTCCACATCTCTGCTATGAAATCAGGCCCCATTATGTATAGAAGGTTGGGATGAAGCCCTCTGTGAGATAGGAAAACTATCATTTGAGACAGTCCTCTCACCACAAAATGCAGAGTCATTACTAAAAGCAGTTGAAGACTTACCAGTTCTGGTTATTTCTGGTGCCGACGATGCCCTTGTTCCTCTAAAAACTGTTCGAACTATGGCTTCAAAACTTGTAAATTCTATAAGTAGCTCTCTATTAGTGTCTATTGTATATTTCACATTTTGAAATATTTGAAGTGTTTTAAATCATATTTAGCCATGCTGAGTAATTGGGATACTCAAACCTGGTTTGGAAATTTTAACATGCTTCAAAAGAAAACTTAAACTTGGTGTGATCAAACCAACTCTAAAAGAGCTGATCACAAAGCAGCTTGGTCTTTCATATGGCATTTGATGCTTATGAGCTTTTCAAGCAAAGGTCAAATGAAGTTTTATAATACAACAAGCCTTAAAATGCGGTCAAGCTTGGCTTGTTTGTGTTGAACTTGAGTGAGCCTTACCAGCAAAAAGAGAACTTGAATGAGCCTTTGAGTGAGTAAGTCATGAGCTGAGTTTTAAGTGGCTTAGTTTATTTTACAGCCCTGAAAAAAAAAAAAAAAAGTCTGGTTGAGTTTTAAGTGAGTTTCCATGTAGCTTGTTAAGATGGGTAATTGTCAATAGTGGACCAGTGGTGCTTGTGATAGTTGTCGGAGATGTCTAAAAAAGCCTCTGGCAGGTGAGCTCATTACTTTGGTTATAGACTATAGAATATTTGGTGTCATTAATGGCCTGTTGTCTGTCATTTATGGCTAGCCAGTCACATGTACACCAAAAAAAGTAGGTGAAAATACAAGAGATTTCAGTATTTTTCAGAGAAATTATTATTTTATTGCAGTGTTTTAAAACTTGGCACGGCTCGGCAGGTTGACCTGGTGAACCGGTCCCCTAACCGGGCCGGTTTTGTAATTAGACCGTTTGAACAAAGAACCGGTCAAAAAACCGGTGAACCCGTGAAAATCGGACCGGGTTTACAAAATCGGCCGGTTTTGTTCCTTTAGTATAAATATGTTTTTTTTTTTTACATTTTTGTGTCATTTTCTTTTCCCCTTCTGTTTTGCCCTAAATCCTAAATCATTCGTTCAGTGTTTGTTAACTCAAAAATTAAGTGAATGCAATTAAGTGATTCAAGTTTGAGGGCGGAGGCTGGGCTGTTAATTGAATGCATTGGTTTGTTAATTGAATGCAATTAAGTGATTCAAGCTTGATAACTTTGTTTGATTTAATATATATTAAACATGTTATTTTTATAACTATTTTAATTTTTTAGTCTATTTATCATAATTAATAATTATTTTTTATTTTTTTATTATATCACCGGTTCGACCAGTGACCCAGTGGTTGAACCAGAAATCCATTGACCCGATCCCTTCTCCGGGTTGGTGTCCGGGCTGAGTTTTAAAACTATGTTTTATTGAGTGAAGAAAATGAAACTGAACTTTCATCTAATTGTGCAATGATTTGTTGTTGTGCAGAGACTGGTTGCAATATCTAGTTGTGGTCATCTTCCACACGAGGAGTGTCCCAAGTGCTTTACTGGCAGCTATATCACCCTCTACAAAAGCCTGGTTATGGAAGACTCTTTACAAAAGGCAATCTCAGAATATTAGAAATAAACTTACCGTGCACTGATGATTGAGAAGAGCCAGAACAGCCACTGGAGGAACTCGTTGGAAACTGCCTGAAAGTGAAATAAATTCAGGGCGTGAAATAAAAAGAGAAAAAATTCAGTCAAAATTGGAGAGTCAAAATGAGTATTCTTACTGCTAGAAGATGTGAACTCTGACCCTTTCGTAGTGAACTTAGACCCTTTCGCAGTGAACGCTAGCCTAATAAACCTGATCAAAGAACCAAATCCATTTTAAGAATAAAACCCCAAAAAATTTTTATTATAAAAATGTTACTTAATACCTAAATATGGACAAAAAAAATAATTTAAATAACTATTGATCAAATTTTTAATCAAATTTTTGTCAAAAAGATACTCAAATTATACAATTTTGATCATAAGTTATTCAAATTTTAGTTAAAAGCTATCCAAGTTATTTTTTTTGTCTATATTTAGATATCACGTGATAAGCTTATGATAAAAAATTATTAAAAATTTTGATATTGCCTGCTCAAGCGATCACATAAAAACATATTCAATACTCGAGGGACCAAAATGATGCGATTGAAATGTTGATGATTAAAATGAGATAAACTCTATACTTTAAAGACCTCCAGTACAATTTACCCTAAAATTTACTCTCAATTTAATAATTGTAATGCACTTAAGTCAACTAATTAGGTTGAAATAATCCTTTTCTTAAAAATGAAATGAACCACGTCAAAAATTGGAATAATAGTAGCAGTTATTATTATACTACTTGTCAAACTTTTTTTTTTTTGAACAGGACTTGTCAAACTGTATTACCCATAAATGCATGGAAAACCTAGGTTGGAAATTTTCAAACTACCCGTTACTGAAAGGCTGGAAAAAAAAAAAAAAGGATTTATCGTGGCATCGTCGAATCTCCCGGTGATTTCTAGAAGCATTTCAAGAACAAGCATGGGCAGTTGATTTTCAAGCAGCAACATTTCCCGTCTGATAAACGGCCAGAAATAGAGCTTCCCGTGATTGCCGAAAGTAGGATCCTTGGCGTCATAATAGTCCGGAGTGTCAAGGGCCCGGAAATTTTCCAGCATGAAACAGCCATCAATAATCATCCGCTCCAAGAACCCATCTTTTCCACTCTGCCACTTAGAATCAAGTGAATCATATGAATTTTTCAACCCTTCTTCCACTTGGGCGAAGGAATCGACAATGGTTTTTAGAGTTGTTTGTGTCCTCTGAAGGAAATAATTGAGAGAACGTCTCTTGTGATACTCCATTGGTAAGGGCCGAATGACACTGTTTGCAGTCTGTAGGCTTTGTAGTTTTGATCTGCAATGAAGGCTGGTACTCTGTAGATGCATAGTCGCCTACGGAGGTCCAGCTCTCTTGAAGTTGAACCAGGCATCCTGTGTCTTGCTTCATATTCAACCTGAATTGCCCATTCCTCCATTTTCTCTGTCCTTCAGGTTAATTTCTTAGCTTGCTAGCTAGCTAGCTCTCTACCCTTCTAACGGCAAGTTTACAAAGAAAGTAGATCAAAATCCAAGTAGCTTTACTCTTCTGAATAAAGCGTACAATGCAAGCAAGATTTCCTACACTCCAACTTCTTAGATGCTTTTTTTTCGGGGGTTGTTGTGGGTTATATTATACTTTACCTTCACCTGGTTTGAGAAACTGACACTTGTTCTCCTTATATTTTAGAAATCTATACACAACATCCATACCTTTGGATTATACTGAGATGAAGAATATACTAAAGAACTATCTTTTTATGGAAAAATTAACTATTTAAGACAAGTTAAGTATATGATGCCTCTTTTGAGGACATTTTTTTCCCTAATGTATACTTTATTGTATGCGTCTATATTAATTAATCTCTAATTGATTTACTTTTTTGGAATATCAGTCAAACGTGTGTCACATTTTTAAAGTCACTTGCTAAGCTTGTAAAGCAATTGAAATTTATGAATCACTTGCTGAGCCAGTGAAGAAATTTAAAATCATTGTTTGTTTTTCTTTTTGGTTTAATGGTCAGAAATGCCCGGATCAATTTACACGCACAATGACTAATCCTTTCTTCGATCCGGTAAAGGCTGAAGATGCTCTAACATGTCTAAAATTTGAGGTTGTTAAAAAAAATGTAATATAAATATTTGTATACTTCACAAATACACACACAAACTCCACATATATATAAAGATGAAGAATTTGCAGCCCTGGGGTACATCTAAACTTGTTAGGCACAAGGCTCAGTTTGATTTAAGTTGTACGTGCAATGTACAAAGCACAGTGTAATATAAGCTATCAGTTTTGAGCTTACTTGTTCCTAGGACAGAAGAACCAGACTTTCATGGTTAAAGTAAAAATATAAAACAAGTTAAAGTATATGATGAGGCCTCTTCTCTGTCTGCACTTTTTATCCGAATGAACACTTTATTATATGTCTATATTAATCTCTATCATTGGTCATTGCTTTATACCATGAACTTATTCAAGATCTAGGTTTCCTCAGACTATGGAACAACATTATCCATATAACCCAAAGGCTAAATTGATTTTTTTTTTTTTGGAATATGAATCCAACGTGAGACACATGTTTAAAGTCACTGGCTAAGCTGTAGAAGGAAAAAGAAAAGCATCCTAGAAACTTGGAATTTGAGGAAACTGTGTCTACATCTTTGTCGCAAGAGACACAAGATTTACGTTGCAATCAAATAATGTGATGTCGACATGACAACATAATCTTTGTAAGTTGTCATCTTCATGTATCTATATATATAACTTTTGAGCTGGAAGCGTAGAGTTAGTAAAGGCAGACCATTAGAGGTGTCAGAGTCAGTTTATTCACCTCAATTAATCTTCACTTTGGTTTGATCAATTTATATCGGAATTAGGATATTCATGAAAATTAAATCTATTATGACCCGACGTTTTTTAAAATCATTGTTATTCTTGAATGTAAGAATTGTAAAGCATGAGTTGCGACTTGCATAACAATCCTTTTTTTTTTTTTGAACATATAATTGATCTGTTATAATTGGCAATTTCAAGCTGGTGCATTTGCTAACTATTTTACTTGATCTGTGTTCATCACACAACGCAGTCAATAGGTCTTATTTTTCCTCCAAAAAATATATTAAATCCTATCATACTTATTTTAGACAATTAAGTCTTATTTTTTATAATTTATTCGTAAGAAGTCCTAAATTTCATCAATAGTATGTTTTATTTCAATTTTACCTTTTCCATCGACACACCAATTATATTTTTATCAATAATAATATGTTATTAGTGCCCCAAAGCAAATTAATTTTTTTTAAATAGTGTATATATAACACCAGAAACACTTAATTAACAATGGCGACTTATAAAAATGATAAATTATACAACTCTATCTTTTTTAGGTATATGAATTTCGACTTACGTAATTATCAAATCTGAACAATAAAGACATACAAAAACTAATTTTTAATACCGTCATTGCGAAAAGTTCATCAAATTACACTCTTTTTACTTCTCCTTTCACATATTGAATTAATTAGAAAAAAAAATTACTATTTTAAGACATACAAAAAAAAATCAAGCATTTGAAGTTACGACATTGTATTTAAGAGATAAAATAAAAAAATATTTATGTATATTATGACTTTTATATTATGTAGGATTCACTCGCATATGAACTATTACATGTCAATAGAGTGGGAGCTTTGATAATAAAGGTATAACTTACTATGATTTTAATTAAAGATACAAAATAAAACTCCAATAAATGAAATTAAATACAAAATTACAAACAAAAATATAATTTGTGTTCATGAGAAGGATAAAATTGGAAGAAAATAAAGCATTAATGGAGTTTAGGACTTCTTATGAATAAACACTTAAAAGTTGGACTTAATTGTCTTAAGGTAAATAGGATAGGATAGGATTTAATTTTTTTTGGAGAATGACAGGACTTATTAATGATTTTTCCTATAAAAATTTAAGTATTTAGAGAGAATGTTTCATCAATCTTTGTATACATCAAGTACTCCTCATGTGCAGCTATATTTTGGCTTAATTATAATATTAAATTAACTCATTACCATTATTTTAACTTTCACTCAAAATTGAGTAAAAAACTTGATTTTATATAAAAACGCTCTAAAGGAGAAATTCAAAATTAAAATAGGGCAAACCCTAATTTAATGGAAGACAAATTCATATTTAAAGAAAAATAAAATATGATCATTACATCTTTAAAACATAATAAAATTTAATCATTGGTGATTTGAGTAATGATTGAGTCTCTCTTAATTTGAATAAAAATTAGGTTCTTCCTTAATTTGGTATGGGTTTGTATATAACAATGAAAAAGATTTTTAGTAATTTTTATCCAAATTTAAATATAAATTCAAAAGGAGTAAAGACCGGAGATCTCTAACACGTCTAAAATTTTAAGTTGTTAAAAAAAGTGTAACACAAATATTCATATACTTGACAAACACGTACACACTCACATACATATAAAGATGAAGAATTTGCAGCCCCATGTTACCGCGAAACTTGTTAGGCACAAGGCTCAGTGTGAGTTAAGTTGTACGTGTTATGCACAAAGCACAGTGTAATGTAAGTTATTTTGAGCTTACTTGTTCCTGGTACAAAGAAACCATACTTCCTTGGTTAAAGTAAAAATATAAAACAAATTTAGTATATGATGCCTCTACTCTCTGTGCACTTTTTATACGAATGAACACTTTATTATATGCCTACCATTGATCTTCTTTAAAACATGAACCTATTCAAGATCTAGGTTTCCTCAGACTATGGAACAACATTATCCATATAACCCAAAGGGTAATTGATTTATTTATGTTCTATGGGAATATGAATCCAATGTGAGACACATGTTTAAAGCCACTTTCTAAGCTGTAGAAGGAAAAAAGAAAAGCATCCTAGAAACATGAAATTTGAAGAAATTGTGTTTGCACCTTTATTGCAAGACACAAAATATTTACGTTAAAATCAAATTATCTGATGTTGACATGACATCATAATTTTTGTAAGTTTTCGTGTTAAAAAAAAAAAAGACATGCTTAGTACACGAGATCGTTATTGTAGAATCTAAGCCTAATTAGATGTACAAAATTTTAAGCATTTTCTATTATCTATATATATAACCTTTGAGGTGGAAGCTGTAGAGCTAGCAAACTAAAAAACCTGGAGAGCAAGCTGCCAAGCATAGAGAAAATGAGTTGTTGGCTTGATACTGACGATGAACTCGAAATCATCGACAGTACTTCCGTAGAGATGAACCTCCTCAAGAGGAAGAAGCCTGAGGAGCAAGAAGATAGAAAAATGAGCTGGGTGGTTGAGGTTGACGATAAACTCGAAATGATGGGCAATGCTTCTTCAAGTTCATCCCCCAAGAAACACTCTATCTACAGAGTACCACCCTTCATTGCACGCCAAAACAAGAAGGTCTACAGTCCTCAAACAGTGTCATTTGGCCCTTACCATCACGGTAAGGTTGATTTGAAACCAATGGAGTATCACAAGGAGCGTTCTCTTCTTCATTTTCTTCAGAGAACTAAAGTTCCTCTCAAAATCATCTTCGATTCCTTCGCCCAAGTGGAAAAAGAGTTGAAAGATTCATATGATTCACTTGATTCTAAGTGGCAAACTGACAACGAAGGCTTCTTGAAGCTGATGATTGTTGATGGCTGTTTCATGCTGGAAATTTTCCGGGCAGTCACTAAAACTCCGGCCGATTATGACGCCGACGATCCCATTTTCGGAAATCACGGGAAGGTCTATATGATGCCGTTTATCAAGCGGGACATGTTGGTGCTGGAAAATCAACTGCCCATGCTTGTTCTTGACAAGCTTCTAGATATCAGTGGTAAAAAGGTAAATCCAATTTTTTTTTAAAATACATGGGTTTTAATAGGGTAATAGTAATATGATGGGGATGTTAATAATGCCGTTGATATAAAAAATCTCACTTAATTTATTGATTAAATAATAGAATTTTATCACTTGACATACTATTAGGTAAAAAAATTTATTAAATAATATTGTCGCATTATCAGTTATTTATTGAGTGAATTACACTTAAATTTCTTGAATTATACCTCTCGTGCTACAGTTCTTTTAAACTATTTATTTTTTCATATTGTGTCTTGAATTATTGACTAACATATTTAGGAAATACAGCATCTCCTAAAATCAATTTTTTTAACCCATTAAACACACCATATTGAAAGAAGATCAATGGACTACATCAAATATTTTTTTTTTGTGGAAAATAGTTAATGAAATTTTTGTTTTTCAAGCGTATACTATCATTATACTTCCATGTGCTCATGATTAAGATTTATTTTTCTTTAGTTAAATAAAATTAGTCAAAAAAATAGGCGACATGGATCTCAAAATATATCACGTAATAATGTGAACCCAGAAGAACACAATAAGCACAACAAAATAAGTTTGATCTAATGATATAACCTAATAAAATTATTATAATTATAATTATTGATAATGTAATGATGACCAAATTATGTAATTTATTATAATTATAGTTATAATTATTGATAATATAATGATGACTTAATTATATAATTTTATTGTAACCGTTAGATTAACATTTAGTTTTAATATTTGATAAAATTTCCAACAGAAATAACACATTAGGTTAATTTAATCCAAATATCATTCCTCAATTAACATTACCCTCAATTCATGTAGGAAGATGAGGAGTCCGTCAACAACCTGATACTCAATTTCTGTTGTTCCAAGACTCCTGTCAAATATTCACCAAAATGGGGACAATGCTTGCACGTACTTGATATATTTCGGAAATGCCGACTAGGTAAAGACCCCGGCACCGGCTCCGGCTCCGACAGAAAATATGGTAGCACAAAGCCGAGAAAAGTCAATGCGACTCTAATCACGCGCTCGGCAACGGAGCTGTTAGAAGCCGGTGTCCGATTCGAGAATAAAGAAAGCGACAGCCTTAACGGCATCTCATTCAAAAAAGGAGTCCTGACACTCCCCTCCTTCGTCATCGACGATACAACTGAATCGACGTTTCTGAACATGATCGCTTTTGAACGGTGTCATGTCGGCGCCGGCAACGAGGTGACGTCATTCATCTGGTTCATGGACAACCTCATTGACACCGCCGCTGACGTCAGCCTCCTGCAGTCCAAAAATATCGTCCATAATTTCATCGGAAGTGACAAAGGTGCGGCCAATCTGTTCAACACCATCTCGAAGGAGTTGACGATCGATCAGGAGAGTGGGCTGGGCTCTGTGCATTCGCAGGTCAAGGAATACTGCGAGCAGAAGTGGCATAGGTGGCGCGCCAATCTCTGTCATACCTACTTCACGAATCCATGGACTCTAATTTCCGTCATCGCCGCCGGCGTTCTTTTCGGTCTCACTGGAACTCAGACTGCATTCAGTGCTTTGCAATACTACCAGAGTCCGAGTCCGACTCCGAGTCCAATTCCGGGTCAGCATCACTAGGGAACTTCCTGTCCTCCGAGAACCGGGTGAAGCTACTACTTAATTATCAATAATGTTACTAATATTTCATTTAAGCATTTTATTTGAGGACTTAATATATCATAATTATTAGATTGTTATTGAATTTAATTTAATACCTAAATTCATGAATCACTTGCTGAGCCAGTAAAGAAATTTAAAATCATTGTTTGTTTGTTTTTTTTGGTTTAAAGGTCAGGAGTGTCCCGTCAATTTACATGCATTCTGATTAATCTTTTTTTCGATTCGATAATGGCCGAAAATGCTCTAACACATTTAAAATTTGAAATTGTTAAACAAAGTGTAATATAAATATTTATATACTTCACAAACACACACACTCTCACATATATATAAAGATGAAGAATTTGCAGCCCTGGGGTACAGCTAAACTTGTTAGGCACAAGGCTCTATTTGATTTAAGTTCTACGTGTTATGCACAAAGCACCATGTAATATAAGTTGATGATGCACAAATTTAGTTTGTACACTACTTGTTAGATGAGCAGTAATAAATGCAATAATTAATAAGTAAGAAATGGAGAATACAAGGTTTATAGTGATTCGGTCAACGTGATTTACGTTCACTTTGAATGGCTAGGGTCACCGGGTATTTTATTACTTCAAGTGTGAAGGGAGAACAGAGAGTTACAAACTTTGAGAGGTAGATGAGAGTTATGCTTAACAGAGTGTGATGCCCCCCAAGTGTTGGTGGGACTTACAATTTATAGTCACCTCATAACAGATTTGGGCGAGTTATTAATAATTAAGAGGTTAATCTGGTGGAGTTGACGACCTCTACTCAACGAATGAGGTAGTTACGATGCTCTCCATAAGATTCAGTCAAAGAATGAGGTGGTGGTTGACTTCTTCCATGGCAGCATGAATGAGGCTCTTGGAATGACCCTTACTTCAAGATAGATAGGAGAAAACTCTTGAATGACCCTTACTCTAAGGTGGCTAGGAGAAAGCTGTTGGATAACCCTTACCCTAAGGTAGCTAGGAGGAGGTTTTTGGATGACTCTTACTCTAAGGCGGTTAGGAGGAGGCTCTTGAATGACACCTACACCAAGGTAGCTAGGAGGAGACTCTTGAATGACTCTTACTCCAAGGAGGGGGGGGGGGGGCTAGGTGGAGACTCTTGGATGACCCTTACATGCTCCTCTACTAATGTAGCTCCTCAAAAACTTATAATGCACAAATTGAGTTTATACCCCACCTATTAGATGAGCAGTAATAAATGCAGTAATTAATAAGTGAGATATAGATAAGATAAGATTTATAATGGTTCGATCAACGTGACCTATCTCCACTTTGAATTGCTAAGGTCGCCAGGTATTTTATTACTTCAAGTGTGTAAGGAGAGCAGAGAGTTACAATTTTTGAGAAGAAGAGCAGATTTGTGTTCAACAGAGTGTGATGCCTCCCAAGTGTTGGTGGGACTTATAATTTATAGTGACCTAATAACAGATTTGAGTGAGTTATTAGTAACTAAGTAGTTAATTTGGTGGAGTTGACTATCTCTTCTCAACAGATGAGGTAGTTACGGTGCTCTTCATAAGATTCGGTAAAAGAATGAGGTGGTGATTGACTTCTTCCAAATCCGCGTGGATGAGATACTTGGGATGACCCTTATTTTAAGGTGGGTAGTAGGAGACTCTTGAATGACCCTTATTCTAATGTGGCTAGAAAGAGGCTCTTAAATGACTTTTACTTCAAAGTAGCTAGGAGGAGACTCTTGGATGACCTTTATTTCAAAGTGGTTGGGAAGATACTTTTAGATGACCCTTGCATGCTCTTGTGTTGATGTAGCTCCTCAAACCTGATCAACTTGACCGGGTGTGAATCACTTTAAACGTTGAATCCCTTAGAATTGAACTCTTAAATTAAATTGAATTTAAATTGTAGGCTTGGCCTTGGGTTTGACCCATCATAAACTGCCGGTTTTGACCTTGCCTGTTCTTGATACAGAAGAACTAGACTTTCGTGGTTAAAGTAAAGATATAAAACAAGTACACTACGTGATGATGCCTCTTCTGTCTGCACTTTTTATCCGAATGAACACTTTATTATATGTCTATATTATATTAAGCTCTATCATTGGCCATTGCTGTATACCATGAACCTATTCAAGATCTAGGTTTCGTCAGACTATGGAACAACATTATCCATATATACCAAAGGCTAAATTGAATTTTTTTTTTCATGGAATATGAATCCAACGTGAGACACATGTTTAAAGTCACTTGCAAAGCTGTAGAAGGAAAAATAAAAGCATCCTAGAAACTTGGAATTTGAGGAAACTGTGTCTACATCTTGTCACAAGAGACACAAGACTTCCGTTGAAATCAAATAATGTGATGTCAACATGATGCATAACCTTTGTAAGTTGTCATCTTCAACTATCTATATATATACCCTTTGAGCTGGAAGCTGTAGAGTTAGCAAAGGCAGGCCATTAGGGTGTTCGAATCGGTTTATGTATCTCGATTAATTCGTTCTTCAGTCTGGTTAAAAATAGACTATCTATATTGAGGTTAGATTATTCATGAGAATTAAATTTTGTATGATTAATCTTTTTGAAAATCATTGTTATTCTTGAACATATAATTGCGAACATATAATTCTTGAACATAACAATCTTTTTTTATTTTTCGACCATATAATTGATATGTTATAATTGACAATCTCAAGCCGATGCATTTGCTAACTATTTTATTTTTCCATCGACACATTAATTTTATCTTTCCCATCGACACATTAATTATATTTTTTTCAATAATAATATGTTATTAGTTTCCCAAAACAAATTAATATTTTTTAATTAGCGTATATATAACACCCGAAACATGTAATTCACAATGACGACATATAAAAATGATAAATCATACAACTCTATCATTTCTTATATTTAACTTTTTAAGTATATGAATTTTGACTTACGTGATTATAAAATCTGAACAATAAAGGCACACAAAAACAAATTTATGAATACAGTCATTGAGAAAAGTTCATCTAATTACACTTTTTCTACTTCTCCTTTCACATTTTGAATTAATTAGAAAAAAATTTACTGTTTTAAGGCATACAAAAAAAAATCAAGCAATCGAAGCTACGACATTGTATTTAACAGATAAAATAAAAAATATTTATGTATTTCATAACTTCTATCTTATGTAGGATTCACCCGCATATGAACTCTTACATGTCAATAGGGTTGATGTTTTGATAATAAAGGTATAACTTACTTTGATTTTAATTAAAGATACAAAAATAAAATTCCAACAAATGAAATTAAATATAAAACTACAAATAAAAAGGCAATTTGTGTGATTGTGGAAATGATAAAATTGGAACAAAATAAAGCATTAATGGAGTTTAGGACTTCTTGTGAATAATTTACAAAAAGTATGACTTAAATTGTTTTAAGGTAAATAGAATAGGGCTTAATTGTTCTTTGGGAGAAAAAACATTAATAATTTTTCCTTTAAAAATTGAGTAATACAATTTGAATCTAAAAATTTAACTTAATTTTTTGACATAATGATGTGACTTCAGTGGAACTATTAGATCAACATCAAATTCTAATGTTTGATGGAGCTCATAGACAATTCAAAGGTCATAGTAAGTTAGGTCAGTAAATTAGGTCTCAATAACATTGCTCTTAAAAATTTTAGTATTTAGAGAGTGTTTCATCAATCTTTATATATACATCAAGTGCTCCTCAGGTGTGGCTATATTTTTGACCCTATTATAATATTAAATTAAATTATTAAGAGTATTTTCAACTTTGACTCAAATTTAAAATTTGATTTGATGCAAATCGTTCTAATTGAAAAACTCAATATTAAAAGAAGACAAACTAAATTTAAATGAGGATAAAATATAATAATTAAAATTTTAAAATATAATGAAATCTAATTATTCCTAATGAATACTATAATTCCTGCATGAATGACATATCTTTGACCAGATCAGAGATAAGATTAGTCGATGTACGAATAAGTTGACTTATACATCTTTGACCGTTGAACACAAAACAAAAGAAATTATTATTATGTTTAATTTGAAAGTCTAATGCATTAGAACTATTCAATTGGTAATGGACCCTTATAATTGGGACCTAGTTAATTAATACAACTTTGATACAACATTAGGTTTCTTATTTAGATTGTAAATGAGGTCCAATAGCAATGCTCTCTCGGAGTTGTGTCATAATCACAGGAGTGTTGGTGTCTTCTAGTTTCTATATAACATGTCTAAAATTTTAAGTTGTTAAAAAAAGTGTAGCATAAAAAGTGCACCAGATGAGTTTTTATTCCAGTACAGGTGAAACGACCTTGTGGTGTATTTGTTGTTTGTGGTATTTCAAATATAGTAAAATCATTTATTGAAAATTTAATTTAAAACATGTAATGTATAACAAAATAGTAACGAGATAGAGCAAAATAGTTACACAGAATACAGAAACAATTAAAGAAGAATTAACGAAACAATTACAGTAGTTTTACCGAAACAGTTACACGTAACTGTTTGTCAAACAAATATAAATACTAACCTGTTTGTATAATAGAATTTGAAGTAGATCAAGGCTAGTGTTTGACATTCTGTCTTTAAGACAGATTTTGCCCCCACACACGGTATTTATGGAATATAAAACGTATGTCTCTCAAGATATAATGATTTTTACAAAAGTAAAAGTAGCACTCTAATTTACTTGTCTAGCAACCAGAAACTATATTGTGTACTCTCCAAAATGCAGACTGTCTTAATGCCAAAATACAATGTAATAATGTCTGTCTTAATACCGAAAATGAACTGATGAATGAATAAAAATAGAATGGTAATGAGCTTGAGAATTTATGGACACTTTGGTGACTTTTTGGACAGCCACCATACTAAAATACACAACCCAGAAGACAAATGCAACAATCAATAGACACCACTTGTGTAATTGTTTAGTACGAACAAACACAACTCAATTTTCGGACTAGAGGGAAACAAAAATTCGAACCAGTGCAATCCAATGGATACCAAAATTTAATTTCGAGTTAAGAAATTCACGCCCAATTAATTAAACGAATTTTCTCCAAAAAGATAAGGTTGGACCCACACCCGGCCGGGTCTAGTCGTGGCGGGCAGGCGGTGCACGTGTGTGGTAGAATTGAAGGCATGTAGGTGCTCATTCCACTCATAAAACTGTGGTACTTCTTAAGACCCAATCTCATGTAGAATTTCTTTTTCAACCAATGTGAAATTGGTGTCAAATTCCACATTGCACACTTTTATTTTCACATTTCAAGATGGTCACTTTAGAACATATTTTCTCATTCATTTCTTACTCAATTTGAGCAAGTGAATATACTACATTATTCTCCTCACAGAGTAAATATATGAACCCAAGAAAGTTTACTCGAAAAAACGATCGGTTCTCATTTTAATTTAAGTTCAAAGTCGACCAAAAGTTCAAATTTTACACTTAAGAAACTATTTTGTGTAACTATTTTGGTCCAACAGTATTGTTATATGGCAATGGAGTTTATTTCGCGGTATGACCAAGCCTTGGATTCTGGTCAAGGTGCTCTCCAGAAAAGTGCACCAGAACGTGGGTTCCTTCAAGATCTAGATCTTTTAAGGTTAACTTTGATGGAGGAGTGTTTGACAGAGAGGGTGTTATTGGGGCTAAGGGAGGTTATTCGAGATAAAGTTGAGTTGTTCGTTGCTAGATTGTCTAAGAAGTTAATTGGTTTGGGAGAAGCGTAAACTGTAGAGTCTATGGCTACAAGAGAAACTGTGTTTTTTGCTAGACAAATTGGGTGTGATGAGATTGTGTTGGAAGAGGATTCTTTTATAATCATAAAGAGGGTTGGCGATAATTCTGAAAATTCTTCTCCTATTGACACTATTATTGCAAATGTGTAACAGTTTTTTCGTCTATTTATTTTTTATTTTTGTCCACTGTTAGATGATCAAGAAGTCGTGTGACTCACCAACTGGCTCAAAAGGCCAGATTAGATGAAAATATTAATGTTTGGGAAGAAATGACACCAGATTTTCTGATACCATCTCTTCTCTTAAATTTAACTTCTTAATAAAAATTTTATCGTTTCGATTTAAAAAAAAAAGAAAAAGTGTAGCATAAATATTCATATACTTAACAAACACACACACTCACATATATATAAAGATGACGAATTTGCAGCCCCGGGTTACCGCGAAACTTGTTAGGCACAAGGCTCACTGTAATTTAAGTTGAACGTGTTATGCACAAAGCACAGCGTAATATAAATTATTTTGAGTTTACTTATTCCTAGTACAGAAAAAACCTACCGAAGAAAGCAACGCTACGTGGATTTAAAAAGTAGACTTAAAAATTAGATTTGATAATTTCAACCATTGATTTCACTGTGGGTCTTAGCATTTATTGGGACTCACTACCTATTCAATAGTTGAGATTATTAAGTCTAATTTTTAAGTCCATCTAACATTACTCTTACGTTAAAATCAAATTATGTGACGTTAACATGACATCATAATTTTTGTAAGTTGTCGTGTTAAAAACAAAAAAGACATACCTAATACATGAGATCGTTATTGTAGAATCTAAGCATAATTAAATGTACACAATTTTACCTCTAAATATCATTTTCTAGTGTATATATATATATAACCTTTGAGGTGGAAGCTGTAGAGCTAGCAAACTAAAAAACCTGGAGAGCAAGCTGCCAAGCATAGTGAAAAATGAGTTGTCGGCTTGATACTCTGACGATGAACTCGAAATCATCGACAGTACTTCCGTAGAGATGGACCTCCTCATGAGGAAGAAACCTGAGGAGCAAGGAGAGAGAAAAATGAGCAGCTGGGTGGTTGAGGTTGACGATAAACTCGAAATGATGGGCAATGCTTCTTCAAGTTCATCCCCCAAGAAACAATCTATCTACAGAGTACCAACCTTCATTGCAGATCCAAACAAGAAGGTGTACAGTCCTCATGCAGTCTCATTTGGCCCTTACCATCACGATGAGGTTCGTTTGAAACCAATGGAGTCTCACAAGGAGCGTTCTCTTCTTCATTTTCTTCAGAGAACTAAAGTTCCTCTAAAAACCATCTTCGATTCCTTCGCCCAAGTGGAACAAGAGTTGAAAGATTCATATGATTCACTTGATTCTAAGTGGCAAACTGACAACGAAGGCTTCTTGAAGCTGATGATTGTTGATGGCTGTTTCATGCTGAAAATTTTTCAGGCAGTCACTAAAACTCCGGCCGATTATGACGCCGACGATCTGATTTTCGGCAATCACGGGAAGCTCTATATCATGCCGTTTATCAAGCGGGCATGTTGATGCTTGAAAATCAATTGCCCATGCTTGTTCTTGACAAGCTTCTAGATATCAGTGGTAAAAAGGTAAATCCAGTTTTTTTTTTTTTTAAATACATGGAAAAATGCGTCTCCTAAAATCAATTTTTTTAATCCATTAAACACACCATATTGAAAGAAGATCAATGGACTACATCATTTTTTTTTTGTGGAAAATAGTTATTGAAATTTTTGTTTGTCAAAGCATATACTATCATTATACTTCATGCTTAAGATTTATTTTTCTAGAAGCATGTCAAGAACAAACATGGGCACTTTACTAAAAAATTTTAATTTTTTTTAATCAATAAAAATAAAATAATATATTCAAATTTACTATATTGTATTCGATATTTAAAAATTCATAAAATACGAAAAGGTAAAACTTTGATAAATATAGTATAAATAAATAACAACAAACAAAACAGAGAGGCTAATTATATTCCTTCATAACAAATGAAGTAAACTGCATAAAAGATTCTATAGTATTTCTCCACATATACGATCAAACGATTAGTCAATGATCACTCATTTAATTAAGTAACTTAGTTGTCATAATCTCTATAATTTTTTTTTAATTGGAATTTCTATAGTTTTAAAAAAATGAGTTCGACGTGTAAAAAACTTATATAGATGTATCCCTAAAGTGTCCAAAGAATTCATAATTATTTAAGTACTAGGATTATACTGATTGATAGAACAAAAAATAATAGAGTGAATACAATTAAATATACTTCAAATTATTTAAAATATAGATAAGTAATATTTGAAAAAAAAAATCCGGGGGGGGGGGGGGGGGGGGGAGGAAGTCTTATCACTTAGAATAATCGTACGAGTCTTTCAACTCTTATGCCACTTGACGGAAGGAATCGATAATGAATTTTAGAGGCGTTTGTCTCCTCCGAAGGAAATGAATGAGAGAACGCTGCTTGTGATACTCCATTGGCTTCAGATGAACCTCACCGTGATGGTAAGGCCCGAATGACACTGTTTGAGGTCTGTAGGCTTTGTGGTTTTGATCTGCAATGAAGGCTGGTACTCTGTAGATGCACCGTCGCCTAAGGTGGTCCATCTCTCTTGAATCATCCATCATGTATCTTGCTTCATCTTCAACCTGAATCTCCCATTCCTCCATTTTCTCTGTCCTTCAGGTTAATTTCTTGGCTTGCAAGCTAGCTAGCTCTGTACCCTTCCAACACCAAGTTTATAAAGATAGTGGATCAAAATCCAAGTAGCTTTACTCTTCTGAATAAAGGGTACAATTCAATCAAGATTTCCTACACTCCCACTCCTTACGCAGCGTTTGATACATGGTATTAGACCAAGGGAATCAAATTAATATTACTTGGTAATGCTCATTCATTTGTTTGGTTTGTGGTAATCAAAAATCATTCCCATTCCTAAGGAATAGCCGATCCCACAAAATGTGGGATTACCATTCCCAAATAAGACTGGGTATTACCCATTCCCAATGACTCGGTAATGAAACAAAATTCGTAACGACGAAAAACCTGACTATTCTCGATCACTCTGTGTCGGTTTCTCTTATCGTTGGCAGCTCCCCTCCAGACCCATGGCATTCCACCCCTTCCTTCATCCCCTCTTAGCTACTCTTCGTAAGACGACGAAGACCATCCTAGACTAGACGAGACGAGAACCGACTTTGGCCATCAATCTCAGGTTTTCTTACTCAAGTTAGTCAAAAATTGCATGTTTGTGTGTAGATTTTATTAGTTTAAATTATGATATGATTTATGCTGGGATTTGGTCAATTTGTTGGCGTTCTGGTGGAATTTGTACGTGTTCCTATTGTCTTAATCAATGAGTAATTGTGGTGCATATACAGTTAAATTTGTTTTTCATGCTTATACAGTTGACTTTGTTTGGAAAGTTATTGGGTGACCAAGCAAAATCAGTCGGATGTAGTTATGCCCCGCAACCTGTTCGATGATAATCCTAAATGAGAAAGAGTTGTTTTATAGAGGGTATTTGTTGGGTCCATTTTTATTTAATTCATGATGTGAATCACAAAGAACTCGTGGATGAGTTGTTTTCCTATCTCGATCATTGATGAGTTGTTGGGGTTGCTTGTTTTTGCATTAGAATTATGCACAGCTCTGTTTATTAGCACTTTAATTTGATATTAATATAATTTACTAGACAAGTATGTGCTATATTTTTGGGGTTGTTTGTTTTTGCATTAGAATTATGTACATCTCTATTTATTAACACTTTAATTTGATTGTGCATTGACCTTATTTCAATAAAAATAGTTTGAAAAAATGGCATCTTCAAGTCAAGTGGAATCACGAGTTCCGGGTAAGAATAAGAGGAAGTGGACTGGTGATGAAGATGCTAAATTGATTGAGATCCTTTTGGAACTAGTTAACTCCGAAACACATTGCGCTGATGCAGCAGGTTTGTGGTGAAAAATAATACACATGATGATCGTATTACCATAGTTGAAACATCCAATAAGTTATCAACATTTAGATTGAATTTAGCAAATAAAATATTTGATGAGTGGAGAGCAAGCAGACAAAGAGTGTAACTTTTTGTACCTATATTTGAGAATAGTTTCGTTTGCTGGAATTTTACCTCCAATGCTATTAAGATTAAATAAAGGGAATTTAAGAATATTTGTTTTTATTCAACTTGTTTTTGTTTTCTGTATAGACTTACTTTTCATCGATTTATTTTTTGATTCAACCTACATGTTCGGATGAGATTATTAGTTGTCTCGATAGGTTTTTTTTTTGGGTTGGCACATGTGCTTTATTGAGTTCATAAAGAACTATAATTGTTCATTTGAAATGAATGACCAATTTTGAATAGTATTTTATTTTGATTTCTTTTTGTGAACTTATTTTTGAAGGAATTTGTTTTCTAATTTTTTAAAATTTATAGTGGTTTAATTTTTTTCAATGGAGTCTCATTTTTTCTAATTATAAAATGTTTTACACAATTTTTAAAGGCAATCACACTCATAAAAAAAAATGTTATTAATTATTTTTAGTCACTTTGGATATTTTGCGCATTCTATTCCATTCCTAAGTTCATTCTATTCTAAAACTCATTTTATTACTATTGAAAAGCATTACCGCATACCAACGCAGCGTACATGTTAATAGAGTGGATGCTTTGATAATAAAGGTATAACTTACTTTTATTTTAATTAAAGATACAAGAATAAAATTCCAACAAATGAAATTAAATATAAAATTACCAATAAAAGTGCAATTTGTGTGTTCATGGGAATGATAAAATTAAAACAAAACAAAGCATCAATGGAGTTTAGAAATTCTTATGAATAAATAATTGGAAGTATATTAATTAAAAAAAATAAATTTAAATTTAAAAGAAGATAAAATATGAGTAATAGATATTTAAAACATGATAAAATCTAATCATTCAAATGTTGCACTGGTGACTAAGCGATCGGACTTATTATGTCTGGCTCATATGATAATTCATTGGGTCCCACTTTTATTCACTTAAATTTCAAAGCTTGGATATCATGTCATCACCCAATCATTTGGCCATATTTATTATTGAAACAGCCATAAACAATCATCAGCTTCAAGAACCCTTCTCTGTCATCTTACCACTAGAATCAAGTGAATCGTACGAGTCTTTCACTCTTGTGCCACTTGACGAAAGGAATCGATAATGAATTTTAGAGGCGTTGTCTCCTCCGAAGGAAATGAATGAGAAAACGTTGCTTGTGATACTCCATTGGCTTCAGATGAACCTCACCGTGATGGTAAGGCCGAATGGCACTGTTTGAGGTCTGTAGGCTTTGTGGTTTTGATCTGCAATGAAGGATGGTACTCTGTAGATGCCCGTCGCTTAAGGAGGTCCATCTCTCTTGAATCATCCGTCAGTATCTTGCTTCATCTTCAACCTGAATC